CAGCTGATAAACACCTTCAGTAACATATCGGGATACAAGATTAACTTAAAACAATCAGTAGCCCTCCTATATACAAATAATAAATGGGGCTGAGAAATAAATCAGATAAACCTCACCTTTTACAATAGCCACAAATAATCTAAAATATCTTGGGGTAACTTTAACTAAACAAGTGAAAGAGCTGTATGACAATAACTTTAAGTCTTTGAAGAATGAAACTGAAGAAGATATCAGAATATGGAAAGATCTCCCATGCTCTTGGATATGCAGGATCAACATTCAATGCAATCCCCATCAAAATCCCAGCACAATTCTTCAGACCTTGAAAGAACAATATTCATCTTTATATGGAAAAACAACCCAGGATAGTCAAAACAATCTTGAACAATAAAGGGACTTCTGGAGGTATCACCATCCCTGATTTCAAGTTCTATAGTAATAAAAGCAGCTTGGTATTGGCATAAAAACAGACAATCAATGGGATCGAATTGAAGACTCTGACATTAATCCACACACCTATGAACACTCAATTTTTGACAAAGTGGCCAAAATTGTACAATGAAAAAAAAGAAAGCACCTTCAGCAAATGGTGCTGGCATTACTGGATGCAAAGAGATCCATATCTTTCACCATGAACAAAACTCAAGTCCAAGTGGAATCAAAGACTTCAACATAAATTCAACCATACTGAACCTGGTAGAAAAGAAAGTGAGAAATAGCCTTGCATGCATAGGCACAGGAGACCATTTTCTGCATATAATACCAGTAGCATAGACACTGAGAGCAACAAATATAAATGGGACCTCCTGAAACTGAGAAGTTTCTGTAAAACAAAGGACATGGTAAATAAGACAAAATGGCAGCCTACATAATGGGAAAAGACCTTCTAACCCCACATCTGACAGAGGGCTGATCTCCAAAATATATAAAGAACTCAAGAAACTAGACATCAAAATATCAAATAATCCAATTAAAAAAATGGGGTACAGATCTAAAAAGAGAGTTCTGAACAGAAGAATCTCAAATGGCTGAAAGACATTTAAGGTATTGCTCAACATCTTCAGTCATTAGGGAAATGCAAATCTAAATGACTCTAAGATATCATCTTATACCTGTCAGAATGGTTATGATCAAAAACACCAATGACTGCCTAGGTTAGAAAGGATGTGGAGTAAGGGGAACACTCCCCCACTGTTGGTGGGAGTGGAAATCAGTATGGTGGTTTCTCAGTAAACTGTGAATCAAGCTACATCAAGACCCAGCAATACCACTCTTGGGCATACACCAAAAGGATGCTCAATCATAATGCAAGGACACTTGCTCAACTATGTTCATCACAGCATTATTTTTACAAGTCAGAACCCGGAAACAACTTAGATGCCCTCAACTGAAGAATGGGTAAAGAAAATGTGGTACATTTATACAATGGAGTATTACTCAGCTGTAAAAAACAATCACATCATGAAATTTGTAGGCAAATAGATGGAACTAGAAAAAAAAAAATCATCCTGATTAAGGTAAGCCAGAGCCAGATAGACAAACACAGTATGTACTCACTCATAAGTGGAGTAAAGCAAAAGATAACCAGACTAAAATCCACAGCCCCAGAGAAGCTAGGGAACAAGAAGGACTCTAAGAGGATGCATGGAGTGCCCTAGGAAGGGGAAATAGATATGCTCTCCTGGGTAAACTGGGGGGGGGGGGCGGGGTTGGGGAGGACATGGGAGGATGAGAACATGAGGGTTTGGGAGGGTCGATTTGAGGGAGGGACAGCTAGAGAAGGAAAGCATTGAAAGAAACATCTTGATAGAGGGAGCCATTAAGGATTTAGTGAGAAACCTGGTGTTAGGGAAATTCCCAGGACTCCACTAGGATGACCTCAGCTAAAACTCCTAGCAATAGAACCAACTTTCTCTTATAATTAGATTGGTGACTACTATAATTGTCATCACAGAATCTTCATCCAGTAACTGATGGAAACAGATGCAGAGATCCACAGTGAAACACTGGGCCAAGCTCCTGGAGTCCAGTGGGAGATAGGGAGGAGAGATTGTATGAGCAAGGGGAGGGGGGCGGTCAAGATCATGATACAGAAACCCACAGAAACAGCTGACTGGAGCTGGTGGGAGCTCGTGGACTCTGGACCACTAACAACTAGGGAGCCTGCACGGGACTGAATTAGGCCCTCTAAATGTGGATGACTGTTGTGTGGCTTGGTCTGTTTTGGGTTCCCTGGCAGTGGGACCAGGATTTATCCCTGATGCATGAACTGGCTTTTTGGAGCACATTCCCTATGGTGAGATACCTTGCTCAGCCTTGAGGCATGGGGTCCTGCCTCAACTTAGTATGCCAGGCTTATTTGACTCCCTAGGGGTGGCCTTAACCTCTCTGAGGTGTGTGTGTGTGTGTGTGTGTGTGTGTGGGGAATTCAAGGGAGAGGGAACTGTGGTTGATATGTAAAATGAATAAAAAATTAAAAATAAAATCAGGTGGACAGTGGTTGTGCACAATTTAATCTCAGCACTCAGGAGGCAGAGGCAGGTGGATCTCTGTGAGTTTGAGGTCAGCATGGTTTACAGAGTGAGTTTCAGGACAGCCAAGGCCACATAGAGAAAGAAACCCTGTCTGGAAAGACCAAGGGGGGGGGGAGATTAAGCTATAAACCAAAACAAACAAAAAACAAAACCAAAGAAAACCAAAGTGAGGGCTAGGGATGTAGATTAGTGTTAGAGCACTTGCCTGATATGGGTAAGGCCCTAGGTCTGTCCTTCCCAGCACTGTAGAGATAAACAAAGCAAGCCTAAGGCATGAATCTACCTGTCACCTTCCTGGATTGGCAGAAGTCCCATGAAAGCATGAAGGCATATTTGCTTTTTTTTTTCCCCATTTTTTACCATATATACCTCAGATCCAGAAATATTTATTGGACAGATTAATTGGTGTTTTTAAGATCAACAATTAAAGACTGTTTCAGGCATTATAGAATGAAAAGCAAGTATCTTGGCAACACATAAAGTAAGTAACAATTTTAATGAGTTGAGATTAGGAGATTAGAGAAGTTTTCAGGTGAATTAGGTGAACCTTAACACAAAACAATGGGTGAAAAGCAGAGAAAGCCAGAGCAAAAGTAGTTAAGAAGGAGCCAGAATAAACAAGTTCTGAGGTATGAAAAATAACTCATGGCTCTGAGGGACCAGTTAGCTGTCTGGATGTTGCCAGAACATAGGTTATGTGGGAGACACAGTGGAGATCTAGGGCCAAAAATTGAGAATGTGACTTTCTAAGGACTCTGGATTTTGGCTTCTACAGCACAGCTTAAGAATGTATTGAAAATAAAAATGATTCCAGTTAGGGTACTATTCCAATTGACTTAGGTATACAACCATATATATTTCACATATATGACTCCATATAAGTGAAATGTCCAGAAAAGGCAATCTTGTAGAGACATAAAGTGAGCTGCTCTACAGAGCATGTTGGTACATGCCTGAAATCCCAGCACTAGAAGACAGAGCAAGGGGCATCAGTAGTTCAACGCCAGCCAGCCTCAGCTACATAAGTCTAAGGCTATTTGGGACAAATGTGGCGAGAGGGGAGAGAGAGGGAGAGCAGAGAAAGGCTAAGGGCTAGTAGTTATCTGCTGATGAACTAAGGGAAGAGGCACTAATAAGCAGAAAAGGTAATTTTTCTCGGTTATGGAACTATCCTTAAAATTGGATTGTGATGATTATTACATAACTATATAATTTGCTAAAATCATCATTGAACTGCACTTTTAGAAGCAAGTAAGTGGTGTGAAATGAGGGTCTGACTATAGCTATTCATTTGTGAATGAAAATTAAAAATAATCAAATAAGTAATGCCTTCCAGAGGGAAGACAGGGACGTTTAAAAGATATGCTACATGGATGAAATAAAGGAAAGTTAACATGCCTCAAGTTTCTTGCCTGAAGGGTAGGAATGAAGTTGGTGCTATTAAAGGAAGAAAAGCAATACAGGCGCACCAGCCTTCCCGCATTTCCCTAAGAGGACTGCTTACCCCGGGTGTGTTAGTCACCAGACACTGCATGCTAGAAATTTGAATTTGCCAACACTCTGCTTCCTTTTGTTATTTTCGCTCAGTACTGAAATGTGAGTAATCTGAAACTCCAGGAGTGGCTGAGAACCAACAGTGGACAGAAGAATTCTAAGTGCATATGACTGTTTTTAAGATCACATATAGATAATAAAGGCTTGATTTACAACACATTTCTTTCTACTTGTTCTATAACGATCTTAAACTCTAGGTATCACTGTGGAAAATTTGAGAAGCAAACATGAGGTTTAACGAGACCTTCTGGTTGTCCGGCCCTTGCTCCTGTTTATTTTGCTGGAATCAAAGCATTATCTGTAACTATTACTAGCTTAATGAAAGTACCAAACTTAACCGTGGCAAAGCCCAAGTTGGCAAAAAAGAAAGCAAAACAAAAACCCAGATGACATATAAAATAAACAATACTATAAAAATATCACAACATAAATTTCAGAACGAAAAAGTTTAATGCGATGCAGCTTTCTCTTAGTACCAGTGGGATTTGAAGTTAGTGTTTTCAAACCAATCATGTTTATGCTAGCAAACCTCCCTATGTCAAAGCATACAAGGAAACCATAACCAACAGGTACTTAAGACCTCCTGGGTTTTGAAACGACTCATGAATCATGGCTGTGGCTTCAAGTCTCTTCGCGTTTAGCCTGAGTTTTCTCATTTGTTAACGATTTTGCTATTTGCACTGGGTGGTGATTCTTAGGATACAGTAAAGAGGGGCAGGATAAGGCAAACGACAGACACCTGCTCACTGCAGTCAGCCCCAACGCGGCGGTCAGCACGCAGGACTGCGCAAGCTCCCACAAGCAGGACCATCCAGCCCAGTGTCCCAGCAGCCCCAGAGCCTGTCCTACAATGCAGGAAGGAGGTAAGCAGGGGAGGACCGTCTAAGACCCTCTGCCTTCTAGACTTCCTACCTTCACCGCGTACAACTTGCCGCCTTTCTGTCCCAGGTACACTTTCCCGAATGCACCCCGGCTAATGGGCTTCACTATGGTGAACTCCTCAATGGAGGGTGGTCTCGGCACCGGGATTCTGTTCACGCACTCTTCTGTCGCCGCGCCTCCTTCATTCTCCTCACTCCCTGAGGTGGACTCCATAGCCGTACGGTTCGCACCGCACCCGCGACTCCCGCCAACTAGATTCAAAAAGAGGTTTCGCCTCCGCCGGGCGCCTCCCGTGACGTCACCGCGCGGCTAAGCCCCGGCGGCGGCGGGCTTTAAGTAGGCATCGGTGGGCGGGGCCTCGGGGCGCTGGGCGGGGCTCCAGCCGGGGTCTCGGTGGGCGGGCTCTGCGGAGGGCGAGCTGGCTGTGTGTGACGGGGTGGCGCGGTTGCTGGCCAACGAGCGAGGGGACTCCTAAGACTTTCATGCGGGTCGAGTCTGGTGGGGTCCTTCCCGGTCCCAGTCAAGATCTGCAGCCCTCCCCCTCCGCGCGAGCTAGAGACCAGGCCGACTGTTAAGTAAAGCAATGGGTGAGGTGTGGAAGCTAGCCAAGTCACACAATGCGGAGAACCTGGGTGAGCGGGGAGCGCGGCTGTCCCCGTACTGAACTCACAAACAGAACAGGAGCCTCTAGAGGAACATCCAGGTCATTGTGGAGAAAACAACAACAACAACAAAAAAAAGAAAACCAAAATCAACATCCCCCACAGTGAAACCCTACCCGGGAAGAGGCAGGACGCTGGCCGGCGTGGGGACGGGGTGGGCGTGGGGGTAGGGTGGGCGTGGGGGGCGTTCACTTGCTCCGGAAGTACTGTTTCCTTAGCCTCTGATCTTCCGGGGCAGTTGTCGTAGCAGCTGTAGGGAGAAGAAGCCATTTTTTTGTTTCTGGGAAGAGTTAGGAAGAGACCGGGAGGAAAGCGAGGGGAAGTCAAGGGAAAATAGAAGGGCTCAGTCCCTTTCCTCTAAACCGAAGACAGGAAGCAGTTTCGACTGGCGGGTAAGGTCCCGAGGGCCCAGACATGTTCTCCCTGTCGAGCACTGTGCAGCCCCAGGTGAGCCCAGCATTTAGCCGTTTTCCTGCGGCCCTTTTGCGACTGTTTTCCGGATGCTGTCGTAGAATGTGTTTTTCTGAAGAAAAGTAGTGAGGAAAGCGAAGAACCCAGAGCGAGTCGTGGACTGAAAGTAGATCAGGGGACGACGCTAAGACTATGACCTGAAAGTTAAAAGGGTTGGCAAGCAAGCCTGAGGGGGCAGAGGCGTGATCTTACGGTGGTAGAGAGCATAGCTTATCCGATGGCTTGCATAGAATTTCTGTGAAGAGAGTTCGGGCATTTTTTTTAGGGTTGTACATTCTGAGATGTTTTGTGAAATCTACGCGAGAAGTAAAGAGGACAAAGTGATGTTTTTCCATCTACCGCTTTCTGAGCCCCCCTTTTTTCATTCAAGCAGAATTAAGCTCAAACATACCCTAATAATTATTCGAATAGCCATCATTTTTGTTTCTGGGTAGATTTAAGTCGTGTACATTTTTGAGTCATCGGAGTCTTACTATTAAATATTTTTTATTTTATTTGCACTTGTGTTTTGCTACATGTATGTCTGTGTGAGGGTGTCAGAGTTACAGAGAGTTGAGAGCTGCCATGTGGGCGCTGTGACTTGAACCCGGATTCTCTGGAAGAGCAGCCAGTGTTCTTAACCACTGAGTCATCTCTCCAGCTCCCACTATTAAATGTTTTAAAAATTGATTTATATTACACATTTTTTGGTTCTTCTTCAGGACCCAAATTGTGTTAATGCTTGTTCCTTGCTTCATTAATATTTTTGTTTGTTTGTTTTTGGATGATAACAGACAATGGTTTTTTAAGAACATTCAGACTCAGTCCATTTTAATTAATTAGTTAATTTATTTTATATACTTTTTGAGGCAAGGTCTCATTGTGTATTTTGCTGGCATAGAACTCCATATGTAGTTCAGGCTAGCCTTGAACTCAAAGATTAGTCTGCTTCTGAAGTGCTGGGATCAAAAGCTCCCAACCAGCACCTCACCAGTTAGTTGAACCCTCAACTTGTCTTAATATGATTATTCCACCTGGGCTTGGTGCAGCCCTTTAATTCCATGTTTTGGGAGGCAGACACAGGCAGAGAGTCTAGACAAGCTTTCACAGTGCAAACATGTTTCAAAAGATCAACCCAGAAGAAGATTGTTAATTCCTACTGCTTTGCTTGTGTGTATTTCTGTGATACAGGCTGACTAATAGAGAAAGGAATTGTTTAACTGCTTCTTGGGCAGCAAGAGAACAAAGTATATGTGGATTCTTACTCAGGACAGTTGAGGGAGTTTGATTTGGTTTCTGTGACCAGATTTTCATTTATAGGCTTTCTCTGTTTCTTGTTGTGTGGGAAATAAGGGAGGGCAAAAGTGGAAGTTTTATGGATTAAAGATGCTGTTGACCTGACCCAGGAAAGGGATGCTGCCCCAATAAAGTGTTTAGTCATTATGGAAAAGAAATAGATATGCCTATTGTGGCATCTCTAATTCCAGACCTGAGGGAGGGGGGCAAGAGGGTTAGGAATTGCCAGCCAACCTGTCTCAGGGAAAAAAAAAAAAAAAAAAATTTGATTTGGTTATAAGTGTGGGAGATGGTAGAAAGTGATGTTTCTGTTTTGGTCAGCTTGATACAGAAAAATGGCTGTTTTCCAAGGTTTCAATATCTGGGGAAGTTTTAGTAATTGAAAAAGAAGTCTAATAGGGACTGTTGAATATAATATTAATTTCTATTAAGAAGACCCGATGAATACTTTACTGTCATGGAGTAGAAGACATAACAGGGTAGAAGGGCAAATGAGAGCAAGGTGGGAAATCCACTCTGGTGACAACATCAATCTGTTCCTAAGGACAGGACCTCCCTAACTTAAATACTTGTTTGTTTTGGGTTTCATGAAACTGGATCTCCCTTTGTAGCACAGAGCAATTGGCTGGTAGTAATGTGCTATCTCCTAGCTAAACACCACCTACTTCTTAACTGCTGTTATAATGGAAACTGAATTCAACATGAATTTTAAAGGAAATATGCCTTCAATTCACAGCAAGAACTACAATAATAGCTAATTTTTATGTCATAGAGCTTAAATTAATTAAATTATGAGGCTTGGTACATAATAGCCCATTATTTTATTCATTGTACAAAACATTTATCATTCCCTGTATATACTCTTAGATTGAAATGCAATATTGAATACTAAAATGGAAAAAAAAAAAGTCCTTGCCATATGATAGAGCTTATCTTTTAATTGGATAATATACCATAAAAGGAATACTTAATTTTGTGGTCTTTCTTGTACCAAGCTTTTTTAGAATTTCTTGAGTTATTAGTAAATCATAAGCCTCCATGGATTACATCTGTGTTTGTCCCAGTGAGGTGACTTGAATCTGCAAATAACCTCAGAGTTGGGACTAGTCAGATAATTTCAGCACACTATAATTGAGCTGCTAGGCAATGAATTCCCGTGCGGTAGGGTGTTAGTTACATCATAACTCCAGAGAGGATGTCCTTCACTAGGGGTTCTTTCCAGGCCTTGTCCAATGTACTTCTTTTTGTTCCTTTTTCTTCTTATAGATGGGTAAATGTAAATGAAGTGTTTTCATGTGTTCTTTGGGCCATTTCTAACCCAGGGAGTGAAGGGCACCTAATGAAGGGAGGTAATAAAGAACAAAACTGGAGAAGATTTTCAGGTTCTACCGGTATTACATTTTAAGCAGAAGAGTGGTCTAACAGACTTTCATTTTAATATGATCACTTTTATCTCCTGCTGGGAATGTGTGGAATCTGGGCAAGGGCCAGAGCAGGTGAGCAGATGGTGGAATTTAGGAAAAGATGTGGCAGTGGGGAAGTAAAGATCAGAAGATTCTTGGTATGGACTTTTGTCTTTAATGTGGAAGTATTCTGTGAAAGTGACTTTTATTTTGCTACTTCCCTTTTGGTAGTCTTCTCCAGCTTTTCCTTTACTTTAAAAATTATGTTGATACAAATTATCTTATTAGTGTGCATGCATTTGTCAAGTTATTTCCTTAGGATAAATTTCTAGAAAGTAGACTTTGGAGGATGAAAAAATATATTTCAAATCAACTTATTTTTGTGACAAGGTCACTGTATAGTCCTGGCTGACCTTGAACTCTGTACACTAAGCTACCCTTGAACTTACAGAGATCTGCCTGTCTCTTCCTTCCCATTGATGGGATAAAAGGTTTATACCACCATGCCTGGCTTTTTAACATATCCAGAATAGTATCATGAAAGAATAAACCATTTGTTTTTTGTACCTCCAGTAAATGAGGATAGACAGTTTTAAATGTCTAGTTTTGTTGATTTTTTTCCCCCCATGTGCTAATCTTTTTTTGTGTGTTTGGGTTTGAGTGTTTGGTGCTAGAATCAAACCTAGACCATCCTGTATGCTAAACATAGCTCTGCCCGGAGCTATAATATCCCAGCTTACCCATAACTTTGACATCTGGTATATGTTTAACTTTTAACAGACCCTAAATCCTGACCAGAAAAGAGATTGTTTGTATTTGTATTTTTAAAAACATGCTGCTTTATTTGAGCTTTTACCTTTTTTCTAGGTTACAGTTCCTCTCAGTCATCTCATCAATGCCTTCCATTCACCAAAAAACCTATCTGTTTCTGTCAAAACATCTGCTTCTCAAAAACAGCATCGAGATACAGTTCCTGAGCATGACACTCCCAGTAGTGAGGTAAGCCATTTGATATGGTGAATTTTAATCCTATTTGGTAAAGTTTTGTTATTTAGGCATTTATTATATCACTGCTTTCTGCTTAATCTTTGTAATTAAAGGTAGTTAATTCTGGCTTTTGTTGTATGTATTAAGAGTATTAATTTATTTGGTTATTGTTTTAAAATATATGATGCTGGGTTGTGGTGGCACATGTCTTTAATCCCAGCACTTGGGAGGCAGAGGTAGGTGGATCTCTGTGAGTTTGAGGCAAGCCTGGTCTACAGAGTGAGTTCCAGGACAGGCTCCAAAGCTACAGAGAAACCCTGTCTTAGAAAAGAAAAAATTTATATTACATTGTATTTGGTATGTATCTCCCATATTACTCCTTGTTGATACCAATTAGTTTTCCCCTTTTTAAATAAAAAGTCTTAATTTTTCTAGTTATTCATTTTTATTTTGTGTTTATAAATTTTTGCCTGTATGTGTATATGTACCACATTCTAGTGTCCATGGAGGTCAGAATAGA